TGGAAAGGGGAGGGATGAGGAGTAGTAATATCCCTTTGACACAATGGGATCATAGATGCATTGCAGTCATTAGCAAAGAAATTAAGCTTCTAGTTTGGCAGAGGAGCCACTTTCAGTTAGGGCAACCCCGTTCCTCATTTCTTCTGAGTAGTCTGATCTATGGGCCCCTGTGGCAGAGATCCAAGTGGATGGGGGGGATGCATCTGTGTGGTTGAGTGTGTAGTTGCAGAGGTTAGCAAGGAGCAGGAAGCCAAAGTGAGTTGTTCTGCAGGGGATCAGGGCGTCTAAAGCCTTCAGGCCTGACATGCTTGGGGTCCCAGCCCTGGATTAACCAAGGCCTGTGCTAATGCTAATGGTGAAGGCAAAGCAGGCAGCCATAAGTACTCTGGAGTGAAGCTGGAGAGACTACCTGCTGGTTTCTGGAATCCCCCTGGAGCATGTTCTCACTTTTTGTCTTTTACATCTCTCTCATCTTTTTCAGGCTCTCTCCCTCCCTCTGCATACTCACTCTCACTCCTCCGCTCTCTGTTGGTAGGTGCTTGTGAATATCTGTTCAGTTTGGTGATATATCCCTTATTGCTCCTATTTTTCTCTCATCTTGTCTTCTTTGAAAAAACTTATCCCGCTCTCTGTGTCTGTCTTTCTCCTGTTATTCACCCCTCTCCTGTCTTATGCCTTGTTTCTCCATGTCGCTTGCCTGCTCTAGCCTCTTCCAGCTTAGTGGAAGTGTTACATCTGTGACCCAGTAGACGGGTTGTCAGCTCAGTGATCAGTGATCACATGTTAGACTCCTGATTTTTAATTCCACCCAACCTCTGCTTCAGGTGCAGGGGTGGGGTGTTCATGTGATATTCATGAACACACAGGTGAGCCTGCAGAATATTCATGCTGTGACAATATGATCAGAAGACCTCAGATCATAGTAACACAGAAGGGAGGAGGGAGGATAAGGTTGGTCATAGCACTGACTATGATGACAGGAAAATAAGAGGGGTGAAGCAAACATTTCAACCCTAACATTTAGACAGTCTTGTATTAAAAGACTTCACGTGGAGCAGCAGCATAAAACAGAGATGAAAAATGAATTGAATTTCCTCTGTAGCAAAAGAATAAAGGATTACATTCCTTGATTTTCAATTTCAAGCTTTATTCTCCTCTTCTGAACTCTCTCAACCAAGCAGTTTCCTAGCCCCTTTGAAGTTATCTTAAAATTTTGTTACAAGTTGTGCTTAATGTGCACTGAAATGCCACAGTATCGTCCTTAGCTCTGCAATTCTCCTCCCGCCGGACACAAACCTGTTTTATCTGCTTCATAAACTACAGTTGTGTGGTGTAGCTTTGGGGTTCTGAGGTGCAGTTTGCTGTCTTTCTTCTTTGTCAGAACTGGGGTAGTGCTTGTAGCCTTCGTGTACTTTCCGCCAGTGATAAATAAAAGAAATAAAGACAATCAACTCTGCAGTTTCCCATAAATATTAAACCAGACAAACTGGGCATACATGGGAAAGGGGTGAGACAAGGGTTCAATGAGCCAATTAGTAACTGAACTGTGCAAATTGGTGTGTGTTTGTGTGTACTGTCAGTTTCATGCATCCTGTTGAAACCTTTAGTCTCTTCAGTGGAGCTGAGATGGTGAGTAACTCTTCCAGTCCACCCAAAAAAATATCTTTCATACATTTTGCAGAGCAACAATCAGGCTTTTTATTAAATTTGATTTAATCATAGCTGGTGCTATAAACAAGGCTCTGGTGTTGCTTAATTGAATGTGCTACTGGAAGTCGACATCAGCGAGATTGTTAGTTATCTTAGCTATACCACGTTCTGGAAACCACAGAGGCAGGTCATGAATATAAGAAGCTGTCAATATTTTCAACTTCAAGGCTAACTTAAAAATTGAGTTTTTTTTTAAAACTTGTTTATAAAAAGACACCGACACCATTTATGCCTTTTTCCTATGGAGAAAATGAACTTTCTAAAACAAAAAAGAGGAGAATAGAGGAGCTAAACTCTTGTTTGTAATAAATGAGAGCATGGACTTCTATTCCCACTGAGATGAGTATTGACTGGCACATGGACTAATGCAGAGCAGTGAGAACAGATCTTTCCAATTATGGATTTGTCTTATTTTGTGGATGTACTCTTGAGGCTCATTAAAGAAACACGGTAGCAAAGAACATGTGATCACATTTGAAAATGGGTATTGACAGTGTTGCTTACACACAAGAACAGATAACTACTCTTGCTGTTAAGGTACTGCACAGACATGAATGGCCTTATTATCAGTGTGTAATGGATCTGGCTCCTTATGTTGGGTCTTTTCCCATAACATAATGAATCCGCCCACCATTATCCCATGTATAAAGACACTGTGTACAGTGCACACACTGTGAAGAATTTTTAGCCCGGTTACTGCTGCTTGTGTCAGCAGATGCAATGACTTATCTGTCGTAGGGTGGTTGCAGCTGAAGAAAGAAATCTCACTCTCTGTGGGAATGGACACGTGTCAGAGGATGTGACAGGTTGGCCTGTGAAGTCGCTGTTCTCATACTGAGACATTCATGGCAGGACAGAATTCTGAAGGGACTGGAGACTTTAGATTGTTTTTTAGACAAAAAAAAGAAAGTTATTTCACTTGCTTTTATTTCTCTCCCGCCTGTTTTCCTATTGCTCTTCCATTTTATTTGTCCCTCTTTCTTTGCTTGAGCGAGTGCTAAGTTATAACTTTTAATAGCTCATGATGCTACCTAATAAGGCTTGAATAATTGGACTGTTTTAGCTTTGAAAAAAGCATTGCTGTAAACACTGATGTACAGCAACAGGCTTTCAGCCCCCAGAATTTTCCTGGCTGTGGATTCAGACTTCAAATGGAATCGGCACAGGATTGCTTTGTCCTGTGCCAATCCAATCCTACATGGTTCTACTTCAGGAGGTTCAGCGGTAATTCTCCTGCAAAAAAAAAAAGAAGAAAAAAGCCAGGATTCCACAGGGCTCTGTAGCAATTCTGCATGGGTAGACTGTCAGGCTTCAGTCTCTAGCGGGTACCAAAGTAACGATAATAACTTATTTGAGACACTGGCTTGTGCATTGCACATCAGGATAGTCTGGTGATGCTTTGTAGCCATGCATCTATTCATTACAACCAAATACCCATCCCCTGCACGCTGTTTGTATAGTATAATGCAAATTTGCAGAATCAGAAACCGATTTGAACACATTCACCAATCTTTAGATAAGGATGAGGTTTTCTGGGCAGATGGCTGTGACCTCAGGCTCAGTCAGTCATAGCAGAGCTTAGCGTGAGCTAGGAGCTTACATGAAATTGGAGATGCAGAGGATTGTTTGAGAAAGACAGAAGATTGAGAGTTTCATATGGGGTTAAATTAGTGACAGTAAACATATTTAATAAACATAATTATTAGAAATATATTCCTGAGTAGTGTTGGTTGTTGCTTTTGTGCTGCTACCATAACAGAGTTTGGCACCACATGTTTTTTTTGTTTGTTTTTTTAAACACAACAAAACATCTGAATTTGCTAATTTATAGACTGTATATTGACAACACAGCGTGGACAATGTGGAATAACAACAAAGGTGCTGTGGGCAGCAGAGTGTCTTTAGTTGGTTAGTATAGTAGAGGGACACCAGGTCCTGTCCCATTTTCAGAATCACTTGTACATCAGATAATGTACAAAATCATAGTTAATGCAGCTTCAATATTTAACTGTGTTTTTACTGGTTGTCATTTACGTATTCACAAATCACCCAATAAGTGTGCAATTTAGGCACTGCTGGCAGATCATCCTGTGAGGATAAATGGAAATATGATATATCTGGCACTTGCACGTCTGCTGCTGAGCTCAATTAAAGGAATTTGTTTCCCCAATTTGGGCTCAGCCAACAAACAACTCCTGATTTGCTAGAATGTATGCCAACACTAGAAAGTGCAACCAATCAATAGTCATTGTTTAGGTTAACGATGGTTAAAGCTGGTGGAGGAGATGGTCTGCATCTATCAATTCCAGTGAAGAAGGCTGGAAAATACACTTTAGAAACACACATGTATATGGAACAATTTGATTTTAATCAAGCTGTTTGAGTGTAGGTAACAACCGCTGTGATTATAATTAAGACATCTAATAATAATTTCAGTTGTTTCAGGATCTCCTGAGGTGGAACTATCATGTCTTATAAATAAAAATTACAGCGGTCTTGTGGCATGAAAATTATATTGCCATGTGTGTTTTGTTTGAGAATTGTAAGGTGTGAATTCTTTTTTGCTGTGCCTCTTTGTGTGTTTTTATATATCTTGTGTCGGGTGTGTGTGTGTGTGTGTGTGTGTTTTCTAGATGCTCTGTGCTGAGCTAATCCTACCCCCAAGCATTTGACAGCGGGGCTCTGGTCACAGTCGCACCTGATGTACCTGCAGCTAATCCTATCTCACAACCGATGTCACTGTAACCAATCCTGTCACAGCACTCGGGGCATTCTCAGCTCCTTCCTGACATCTCAGTCACACCTCTCTCTCGTCTCCTCCTCTCTCCCTGTCCTTGCTTGACTTTATAAATGCATTCGCTCTTCCCTCTCTTTCCTTCTCTTTACTGACAGACATTCTGCCCTGCTTTTGTCTTGTATCTTCCCTAAAAATATCTCTACTTCCCCTCTCCTTTGCTTATATTTTTGTTGTTCTGCATCTTATTTGTTTGCCTTGATGCCTACAAACCTTCCATCCCCTC